GTGACCCTTCAATACATGGGGCTATTTTCTCAAGTTCCACGTCAATGAGAGGGGTTCCCAGGCACCTTAGGGTCTTACCTCTGATTGCCAGTGGCTGCAGAACCTAAGGATTTAGGAATCTTAGTGTGTTTCACATATCAGAAAATGGTTCTCTCCTACTAAAAAGGGAGGCAGCAAAGGCAAGGGGCCATCTCAGACATAATACTGCAATGCTTTACTGCATTACAAACAGCAGGGTATTAGAGAAATCCAGAGGAGAAAGATGCAGTGAAGTTGAGATAATTTTAAAAAACACAGCAGGAGAGTGGAAAGCTTAGGATTTTAAAGAGTTAAAAGAGTGATGGCAGAAAAATACAGAAATTCACAGTTAAAGCAATTCTGATGGAAAGAAATACAGATGGATTAAGCTGCCAAGCACAGTCCACAAAGAAGCAGATCAAATGAGAGTCAGCAAGATGTTTGTTATCAGTCCTTGAAGTGGACAGTGCTTGTCAGCCTGACAGCAGTTAAGCTCAGGAAAGGAATATTCAGGAGAAGTTCATTATAATGCACCTTGATGAATATAATATCCTGTCTGAAGGAGCAGAGCAGCCTGCTGCTCCAGGATCAGCACTGCTGGGCCTGCCAGGCTCAAAAAGGGACGGAACTGTAGGTGAGCTGCAGATCCAGCCCTGAGTTTGCACCTTGAAGATAACAGCAGATGGAAACCTGCCCCCTGAACAGGAAGGACGTTCTGATTGCTCATCAGTTGTCCTGCAGATGTCATGGAAGGATCATGTGCTTCCAGGGCCAGCCCCTGGAACAGTTCCTCAGCTCATTTCCCAGGTGCAAATTCCTGCCCACAGGAGCAAAGCTGACACTATTGAACAGCTCTTTTTCTCTTAGCAGCCTATGAATTATATCCAGAAACATCCTTAGCAATGGATAACCCATACATGCAGTTACTTAGTGAATTTGATGATTCAATATTAAAATCAAATATAGTTTATATTTGCTGTTAGTGTTTTCATGCAGACCTTTGGGCTTGATACACCACTATATATTCTGTACCAAGTGGTTTTCTGTTTGACACCAGTGTCAGCTGTTACCAGTCAGGGGTTGTTCATGTTTTCATCTCTGAATTGAGACCCTAAAATGCTAATACATCATCATCAGCTTGCTCCCTTTTGCTTTTTTATTTTTTAGCCATTTTTATATAAAAAGAGTTGTTTCCAGCAACTTCAAGTACTGCAAGTACTGCACTTCTGGAGCACTGTACTATGCAACTTTGCATAACGCAAGGTTTAAAAGACAAATAAAAAAATAGTATTTTAAAACGACACATATCATGTGCATCAATAGGTCATAATCCAAACCCATTTTAATCTAAGTAAAATATTGTTAAAACATTTACTACAGAACTGAAAACAATTAATTATGGATGGCTGTATCCTAGTTTCCAGCTGTAGAAAACCACAGCTAAGCAAAGGATTCACGCAGAGATAAATCCCTGCCTGCCCTCCTGTCCTGCACTGCAAGCACAGGAGGAAAGCAAACCTGTCTGCTTCTTGAATTAATTTGGCCTAATGTAATGTGATCTCTGCAGATTTTAACTGCAATATCATCAAAGTTTTTCATTCCTCATTTGGAGTTTAGGTTTAATAGTTTAGGGAAATAATTTCTCTCATTATTAGTGTCACCCATCACACATAGCTAGAAATAAGGTGTGGCGTTCAGAGCAGGCCATGGCCTGGCTTTGGTACCTACCCAAACGTGTCCACAGGGATGCAAGGAATGCAGTGCCTGACACAGCAGTATCAACACAGCTTTTTATGCTACACAGGAGAAAAATATTTGAAGGAGAACAGTCTGTTGGTAAAACCAAACAATTTCTTAAGTGTTAGTTAATATTTTCCTTTTTTAACTGAAACTGGAGTATTTGAATTGGCCTTGAGAAATACAAAGCTGGGATTCAGACCTATGTATTACCTCTTTAAACACTGAGTTAACAAGACATAATAAAAACGTGCCATATACAAGATTGTCACAGGTATATGAGATTTTTAGAAAAAAAGCAATAAAAATATTTTTAAGCTGAAAATAAAATCTCTTACCTTTTATATCACGATCTCAGCTTACAGTCACTACATTTCTGCTTATTTTATACAAGTGCATATGGCTATGAAGGTCCGGAGAGAATGAGAATAAAGTGGAATTAACCTGCTGAAAACTGCTTAGAAGTCTTAAGCTGCAACATATAGATGTTCCAATACCATTTAAAAAAAACATTCACCTTTCAGTTATTGCTGATTGACAATCTCAAAATATCAACATACAAATATTCAAGAGAGAAAAAATTCATTAAATTTAGAGCAGCAAAGGTTTTTGAACTGGATGTTTCCCAAATACTGTGTTTTCCTATCATTTGGTGATGATTTTAAGAGACACAAAAGCAATCCACTTGATTTGCAAGTTCAGGCCTAGCATTTTTGTGCCTCATATCAATGATGTGGGGAAGAGAGAAAGAGAATATATCATTCAGTTACATTTTGGAAAAAAAATATATATTCTGGGCTTTTTTCTTCTGCCATTTTGCTACATTTCATGTCTGCTGACATGCACAATGGTTCAAAGCACTGCTGCTTCAGGAGTGACCATTGCACAGCTCTGTAGCAACTTTTATAAGAAACATGCAAATACAGTGTAGTATTAAAATTCTGAAGGATTTCAATAGTGAAAGTAAAGGCAGATTTCACTGCTTGAAGCAGCACTCGACCCGGGTTGTGCCTTGGTTTGGCATTTGGTTTTCCCCCCTCAATACACCAGTCCTTCCCCTTCTAGTGTAAAGAAATAACCAGGAGTATATACACATCTATTGCTATGTACCCAAAGAGAGGACTGTGGCTTGGACTAAGTATTGCTTTTCATTACATGGAGCACAGTTCAAGAAGTGAGAAAAACACTTTAAGGAAAAAAAAAAAAAAGAAAAAAGGTCAGATTCCATGTCTGAAGTTGAGAAACCTCAAAACGAGCCACGTTTTTCTTGCTTTTAAGACATGTACAAAATGCCATTTGGAGCCACACAACCTGATGGTTCTAGAAGTCAGAGAAGAAATCTTGAGGGCCCAAGTGAATAATAAAAGGTGCGATGCTGAGAGGCTGGCAATAGGGACTGTCAATGAAAAAACCACCTACAGTGGGAGAAGAGCAGAGAAGCAAAAACCTCACGTTAATTTCTGAGACTGGCTGAAGCTAAAGCTCCATTTAAATTTCTCTGCTCTTTCAGCTGCAAGTGGAGTTTTCATTGTAAAATGGGCACTTTGAATTCTTTGAAGGTATTGAAACATCTAACACTTCCAAGGTTACCACTTTCTAAACAAAGAACTGACAGCTCATTCATATTTTCAGTAAAGCAGAGAAATGTAAAATATGCAGCAAGGGGGCAAGTTTACAATGTGGTTAGTAACTCCCAACAAATGACAAAAAATAAAAAATGACTTCTATAAATCATCTGAAATGACTGCCATCATGTTGGAAAAGAGCATAGCGCCCTTCTTGTCTTTGAAATAAGAACAAGTTTTTGGCTTACAAATGTTCATTGTATAGAATTGGTTCACAGAATATTTTATTTGGAATTTTTCAAAACTGGGGATTAAAAAAAAAAAAAAAAGAAACTACAAACAGTTGCCAATCAGGGGAACTCCAAAAGAGGGGGGGCAAAAAAATGTATGCGGAGGAAAGATTCCTTTAATGAATATTTGATTAACAAAAATGGGCTCTGATCAGCCATGCTTTTTCTGCTCCGTGATGGCTTCCTTTCATCCATAGGCCAGCAAAACAGATCAGATTTCTGAGCACCTCTCAATTTGGCTCCATCCCCAGCCCCTGCTCTGTGTTCCTTGGGTGACACCAGGCTCACCCTCCCGGGCCATCACCTACGTTTTATTAAAGTACCACCGACACCAAACGGAAGCGAGAGCTACGGCAGAAGGAGAACCATGGAAATGTAAACACATTCCTAAGCACAAACATTTAGCTTAAGAATAACAGCTGCAGTTAATTCCAGGGAAAGCAGCTTGTTCTATAAGCCACCCCTTATTCAGCTTTTCTAATACTTCTCTCCCTCTAAGGGGGCTGTGGGGGGGAGGAACTTTCTGTTGCTTTAAGCACCACTCCTACAACACCCTCAACACTGATACAGCTCTCCTTGCCTCAGCAGCAGCGTCTGGTAAGAGAACAGGGGATAAAGGCAAATCTTCGGAAGAGCAGGAACTAAAGCCAGCCTATGGAAAAGCAATGGGCGAGGGCTGAGGAGAGAGTGCAACCAACAATGCTGCTTATTTGTGGGGTGATACCTTAATAAAGACTACTGGAATCCCTTGTTAGAACCCACAGCAGTCCACAATCCATGGAGATTCCAGTTGTGGAGCTGGGGCCTATCCTGGAATTTCAGACAGGTGCACACACTCCTCAGAAAAAAGAGGACTCTGGGTTTGAGCACCATCTCTTAAAAAAGTACTGGCCTATGGCTGAAGTGTGTCACTTTTCACAGCAGCACTCAACAAGAACTGGGACAATTAAATAGCAAGTTTTCATGGGGACCTTGTTGCTGCTTTAGATTCTTATAAATGTAAGGGGGAAAAGGAGAACCTTTGGTTTAACATACAATTGACAAATAAAATGCTTTCTGTAGAAATGGTGGATGGAAAATCAAGGGTGGGCAGACAATCTTAAAAGTGAAGAAGGCCACAAGAACAAGTGGAATTTGTTTCTTTTTTTCTCTTTTTTTTTTTTTTTTTTGTAAAAACAGAAAAGAAAGGAAAACATGTAGCTTTTGAGCTCTAAAGAACCTGATTGTAACATTATTATTGTCCTTTCTCTGGGCAATACAGGTGTAAGGTGTATCCTTGGAATTGCATCCTTCTGTGGGAACTTCCTTTAATACTTGTTTAATACTTGTTTCACAGAATGCAGCCTTATACAGAGACAGACTAATTCCTTTTGTTTCATTTGTTTTTCAGCATTTTGTGTATGAGTGAAAAGTCTTCTTGGATAATTAAGACTGTGTCTAAAATCACAGTTACAGTATGCTGATCTATAAGGAAACTCAGGTACTGATGCTTAACTATAAAAAATAAGATAAAACAATATTTTAACCCATATTTTACTAAGTTTATTACACACCATAATATTTACAAAGTTAAATGTTAACTGTAAAGTTTCTATCGTGTAGTTTTGTTTGATTTTGGTTTTTTTTTAATTTTTATTTTTGTTTTTTAAACAACTATGCCCTGCATTTAATAACCCTACAGCAAATACAGGTCATTAACTGAGTCTGTGTGACTGCATTAGGAAACAGGCAGTACTCTTGTGTTACAACAAAACAGTTTATTTGTGATCAGTGTTTTATATTCTATACATCCTTCACAAATTTAATTTTACATAATCGGATACTTCATTTAAAACGTAAGATTTAAGCTTCTAGTTCTTCCCTATAACAGAAGGCTGGTATAAGTTATTTGAAAATGAGGTAACATTTCACAGAACATTTTTTTCAAGTTTTAGAGAACTAAATTTGCATTTTGTTAAAATCAAAAAGTAGGAAAAAGATGTTTCTTTACAAATGACTTTGCTCAAGTATGTGTTCAAAGAAAACAGGATAAAAAGGCTTTTTTTCTTCTAACATTCTGTACTGTACTGTGTTGTTCAATCAATGGGAATTAGCTTCTGCCATTTGCTAAAAGAATGAGTAGTGGGGAACGGGGTAAGTTGGGAATTTCATAACTGGTAACAGAACCATTCTCTTGGGTAAACCTACAGAGAGAAGAAAGGGAGAGGACTCCAAATAAGTTCAGCAATCCAAGAAAGTCAGATAAGAGCTTACAGTAGTGTTCTCATTAACCTTTTCCAGATCAGTCAGTCAATGTGATGTCAGGGTGCAGAGTCCCATAAACAGTAACGCTTCACCACTTTGCACTATTTCAGACAGATGGTTATAGCTTAAAGTCTGCTTTATTTTTGTCCTGGTGTTTGATAAAATTAAAGGAAGTGATATTCTCAAAAGCAGAGTGTGTATTTGGACTTAAAGCTCTATTTCATAATCTTTATGGTAATTAATCTCTACTAGCTTGTTCTACGTTGAGGTAATTTCACAGACCAGTTGCAATTACAGATATTTTAGACAGGCACTGCTGTGCATAAAATACAACTCACAGGGAAACTGTTCAGCAGTTTTGATCAGCATCCAGGTAGGTCAGCCAAAAATCAAGCACCTACAGTAAATTCTGCATCTGCTTCCTTATTCTGCACTTCCTCTCCTGTGCTGAAGTAGTAAATCTGGAAAGATTGACATCTGCCTGATTTCATTATTATTTTAGAGTTCTTGTGGCCTCACAAACTTCTGCACAATTAAATGTTTGTTTGTTTTTTTAATCTTGCCTATTTAAATTCTAGTATTTAACCTATATATCCATTTAGAAATCACAAAGCAGCAACAGCAGGTATTCCAGAGCACCAGATGATCAAAGTGAAGTTTCCCAACATGCAACAGCTTACAAAGGCAAAGAGACATGTTTTCCTTACAGCCAAAAAGCATTATCCCAGAACTTTGCATCACAATCATAAGACATTAAGAACAGAAACTCTTTATGTGAGAAATGGGGGCATCCAATTCCACAATGCTTTGAAGTCAGTGATATGTCACATATATACAGCGAAGTGCTTAAAATCCAGCTCCCAAAATAGGCATAATTACAAAAAACCCCACAAAACAGAAGGAATGAATGAAAAAAGCAAGAAAAGCTGCAAGGAAACTTGGTAACAAGTTGTATGCCTGCCTTCAGCAGGGAAAGGATTCCTCATGTCACAGTGTGTCACTGCTTGTAAAAACACAGACATGCAGTTACCACTAATCCTAGTTATACTCTTGGGCTGTTGCTTGAAAAGAACCAAGAAGTTTTTTTTTAAAAAAAAATCAATATCCCAAACTAAATTTCCTTTCATTTTTCTCTGGGAAAACACGTTGCTGTTCCTTGTGTGATGCACCACAAAGGACAACACTCCATGGGACAGCCCTGCTGCCAGCTGCCCTCCTGTCAGAGCACAGGGCCAGTCAGCAGGTGTAAAACTACAGAGGTTCGCTCCAGTTCTGGGGGTAGAATTCCACACTGAGCCCGTGGGCCCATTCTCCCTCTCAGTACAGAACTGGACCAGCTGGTCCCAGTCAGGCAAAGCTAACATTTTCCATAAAGCAGCAGCATTTTTGCCCTGTTAAAGCTCATACTTGTAGGAAAGTCTTGTAATTGACATTTCAAAATATTTTTAACTTACCATGATATGATGGGAGTTAGTATTGCCCAAGTTAGACAGATAAGGGAGGAATGACCTATTACAAATGCTAAAAAGCAGAAATTTCCCATCTGAAAAACCCCAGGCCTTGAAACATGCCAGTCATTTGAGCAGCACATGACCAGTAGTTGCCACAGGAGAGGCTGGTGGGACTGGTCCTGGTGGGCTCACGTTGTGTGTGCCAGGACATATCACTGACTCCAAACTGCTCTGCTCCCATTGCCACATAAACCTCATTCAAAGTAACCAAAAGGGCCGGTTAGAGGAATGCATTGTTAGTCCAGCATAAAACAAGCCAGTGGGGAGGGAGAAGCCGAGTTAAGAAAAACCCTTCCATCACAGCTCTCATGGTTATCAGCTCATTTTACAATCTCCATGAAACCAGTGCTTTGCCAGCCTAATAGAACATGTTTCATAGTGAAAAGCATTGTGGCAAATGACCGTGTCCTGGCTGCCTCACAGACTGATTGCTACCAGTACCAACTACCCAAAACCCATCCTGGTGTCCCAAGCAGTGGTGTTTTAGCCTGCAGGGGTGGGGGGTATTTTCCCATGGATTTCAAAGAGTTGACAGCATTAAGGGAGCTTTGTCCACAAGTCACATACACTTGGGGACAAACATTTCACCAACATTACTGTAATGCCATCTGGGTCAGAGATGCTGAAATAGGCCCTTCGGTAGTCTTTGAATGGAGCACAGACTGGCTGTAAAAAGTAAGGGAACTACTTTGACTGGGTTCCAGTATGAAGGGAACAGGCAATTAGAACAAGCAGTCCTTCCACAGACCAGGCAAAGCAGAGGCAAAAAGCTACTCCAACCAAAAAAGAACCACAAGGTTATGGCATAAAAGTGGTGTTCTTGTCATGGTTTAAGAGCTTAAATATCTTTGAATTTCTCCTTGGACTGCCACATTTGGACTGCCACAACAGTTTCTGCACAATTTCTAATGTGTTAATGACAGGGCTGTACGTACCGTAGGCTGGTGCTGCTGTGCTGTATCCATATGGTGCTCCATAGCCTGCAGGGAAACAGAGGATGGAGGGGGGTCATTCTCTGCACTGCCTGGCAGTGTTTGCACACCTGCACATGGGCAGGGACCATGTGCCTGAAGCGGGAGCACAGCAAAACCAAACTCACACTAACCAGTACATACAAATATTGCTGAAAACACTGAAATGTTCCTATGCAGTGGCCTGAAGAACAAGCAGCCAGGGACTTCCTCAAGCTTCAGCATCAAAGAGTTAAAATTCCCTATTTTATTTCCTCAGCATTTTCTTTTCCACTGAATCCCTCAAGTCTGTACTGTCAGAGTATGGAGTTGGCATGACACAGACATCCCATATTTGCTTATTTTCTTCTTAAAACACAAATGCAGTCTATGCAAAGAACAGTAATTTTCCCAAATTTCCTTTAAAAAGAGAATGCTGGATGCCTGTGGCAGATGTCACATCCCCCTCAATAAAGCTCCTGTGAATTCTGCTTTCTTTGCCACTTCAGAGTTCCACAGAAGACATGTGAACACCTCCACACAAACAGATCATTATTCCCCAGAGAGCAGAGTTTGACTCTGAAGCAGTTGAGAGAAAAAGCAACACAGGTAACACCAGCATTGGTTTCTACATGTCAGTAGTTCATGAAGGCTTTACAGGTTATTTTTTTCTGGTGAGACTGCTGGTGTCACTCCAAAAAGTAAGAGATTTCTGAGAAGACTAGGGGATGGAGAGAAATAATCTGTGAAGGCCAAGGCCAATAAAAGCTTAACTACAGCAACTGGGAAATTAAACTTATTTCTGGAATAATTCCACACTGGCAAGAAGCATGCCCCTGGCAGATTAAAGTGTCTCTTAAATGACTCCTCAGGCAGGCAGACAATTCCAAAAACAATGTTAACAGCCATTAAAAATGAATTACTGGGTTTTAATATTTAAAATTACATGACCATACAGGAGCAATGAAGATGACATGCTGCCAACAGTGCCAGGCAGGAAGGTTCCCAAACAACAGGCCTGTGCTATTAGCACATGTGAGCTGCTGGAGGGTGTAATTAGAGCTCATGCTGTAATCTGAAAACCTAAGCATGAGGACTAGAAGTGTTACTTTTTGGAAGCTATGACTGGACTTCCTTTGACTAAGGCATCTTCAGCATCATCTTCTTCTTACAAATCTGTGGTTCTTATAACAAGTGAAAACAATGTCTGGATTCCTTTCATATGTCACCCACAAATCTCAGACATGCTGTAGAGTCACAAAGAAAATGCACTTTGAAAAGTGATTTGAGGATGGAGAAAGTGACCATTTTATGAACATGTGCAATGGGAACCAGAAGCCCTTGGACTTCAGAAGCTGTTTCTGCTAATCAGAACAATGCATGACTTCCCATCACCCAGAGTATGAAAAGCAAGTCTTTTATTTCTGGCCACCACAGAAGCTACTAATAGATGCTTCCAGGTGGAATTCATGTAGAGGGTTTTTGGGAGCTCAGGGAGTGTTGAGCCTGCTGACTTCATGTTCACAAAGGATTCTTGGAAAAGGCACTCCTAATGCTAACCAGCACATGATCCAGAAGGTTCTTAGGTAAGAAGAGAGTTTTGGGAATTGTGCCATGGCAGTGAACTATGAAGACAAATCATAAAATAATAAAGCCAGGAAAGCCATTATGCCCGTAACTGTGTGCTCTGTGCACACAGAGCTTTGAGCTGCACACTCGTAGAGGATACACTCTGCCAGCTTTCCAGCTCTTTGATTTATTTAAACTCCCATGAA